AATTTTGTGACGTCAGTTTGCGTGACATAGTTGAAAAAGCTTTTCCCATTAGATCTTCAGGTGAGAAATAGCGTAGGAAAAAAAGCATAGAAAGCGCGTTTTTGATTTCATGGCATGATTTGGAATAGAGCCCACACACTGGATCGATGCCACTGAGATATGCGTGAGAGACTCCATACGCTAGATTTTGCTAGCCTTAAGGATAATTTCTAGCTAAACTCCTTTGGTTTCTTTACCATTGCATAGGACTACGACGATTTTATTTAATTCGGTCACTAGTGCACCTAAACCTTGATTAAATTGGAGGCTGTAGGAGGAGTTGGCTTGGGATTTTTTTCATATCAGAAGATATAAAGCGTCATACATTTTCATTATTTGTAATTTTTGGTCACAGAGTAGTACTTTAGATGAGCAAAGCTATTTAATATTTTATGCCACTCCTATATGTGTGCCCTTCTCCCCTCTCCACGCACTATCAAGAGCCTTATCGCATACTATATATTCATACAATAAGAAAAGCTCGAAATAGTCATGTTGAAGGACAATGTTGAGTTTTACCTCTTAGAAATACTCGTTTTTTTTTGGATAGAAGAATAGTTATGCGATGCATTTTCAAAATAATTCATTCTTTCAGAATAAATATTTTTTGTATTTACTTAAGTACATAATATCTTTTAGAACATTAATTATGGGTGTAATCTGGAGCGATGCTATGTAGATATCAGGATTAAGATTACGGGCTTTTGGGGGGGGGAACTGATGATTCTCTAAGTTTTTCGGTATTAAGTTTCCATGTGAACATTTGCCGGGAGGGTAAAATTTCTTTAATTTTATCTTTTAATGGAGCACTAATCTAATAAATATCGCTCTAAGAAAGAGAAATAGGTACGTTAGTAGTGGGTTTACGTTATCCCAACCTGAAGTTGTACGAATGAAACAAAGCATTTGATTTCTTTTCATAACGCTGCAAAACACGACTGGATTGGGTTTATTATATTACGGCAAAGTACACGATGTTTATATGCTTAAGGAAATAGATGTTTTCGTGAATGGGTTTCAAAGGGTAATTGGCTCGTACTTACTTTGCACATGGGGAAACAAAAAAAGGATTCCATATAGAGTGTTAACTAGTGACTTAATTTAACATTTAAATTCGGAAATCTGTATGGATATGGCGGCCGAATGTATACTGTACAACATTAAAGATTATGGGAACATTCAAAAAAGCAAAGCACTATTGTTACAGCGTTAACCTCCAGAAAAACAATCAAAATCAGTAGCTGATGTATTTTGCTAAGGAGAAGAAAAAAAATTGTAGTATAAATTGTAAGTAAAGTTGTCAGTTTCAGTGCATTTTATTTAAAGTGCAATAGAAAAGCGTTATTATATATGATAGGCACTCCTAATAAACATTAATCCTCTGAAATGCTATATATATATATAGAGAGAGAGAGAGAGAAACCACTCGTTAAAATGCTAGTACAATAGTGAATATTAGAATATATAAATAATAAAACATAACCTAATAAGTTTTTCCATTAACGAAATGTTTCAGTTCTAGAAAAAGAATATAGTAAATTAATGTTTTCATTTCATGCATCTGTTCCTGGAAAGCAATCAAAGTCCTTTCGAAATTGAGGTGAAATGTCAAGAAGAAAACTTCCATAATTAGAAATCCTAATTTATGATGACTATTGTCCAATTTTTAAAATATTCATTAGCATGAGAGAAATTTTCTTACATCAGACGCTAAAATGTAAATTTTCTTTATGACACATGAAAGAGTAAGGTGTGAATTTTATTAACATGTTTTTGGTTAATTTTTTTATATTAATTCCAAAAACAAATTTCTTTTGAAAACGAGGTCCAAAACTAAACTGATTCTGAAAATTACGGATTACCATATTGCCTTCCTAGGACACAAATCAATTTATAGAAAAATATGAAAACTTAGTTAAACAGTTTCTAATATATCTTAAGCGTGGTAATGAAGATCAAATAGAGTTTTCTTATGTTCTTCACTCTACGGCTAAAAATAACTCTAGATGTTTTCTGTTTTTAGATAAGCTTAACAAATCCGCTGCTTTAGTCATATCATCGAGCTCTCAAAACCTTGACTATATTAACTTGTAACAATATTAACTAACTTGTATTTGATACAAAATAATCAGTGAAATGTGTATCAATTTAAATATTAATAATTGTTTATATCACTCTTCCATAATAATTTATAATATTAAAAATTAAGCTATCATTCAAATTGTTGATTACCGTGTTGCTTAGTTAAATGCAGTAAAATTATATGAAAATGAAGACTCTTCGGCTTTATGGTGATCTCTAAGAATACATTGATCATAATAAATGAATAATAGGTTTACCAATTTCACCAGTAAGATACATTACAACAGCTTTTCTGAAACGTTTTTCAAGTGGGAATCACTTCTATAAACTATAATACTCTACGGACCGCCTTACTCTTTTCTTCTTCGAAAGCAATTTCTTAGCGTATATTACCGCCAGTATATTAATTATATTTTTTTAATCAAGTTAATAGAAAATCATTTAATTTTATAATACTATTAAATATGTTAATAGAAGAAAATACGTATTTGTATTTGAAAATTCAAGTCTATCAGAGTTTGGATAATATTTATCTTATTAACTAAAAATTGAATAGATTTTGGTACTGCATTAATGAGATGGAGCCCATCGATTCTTGACAGCTGTTCTGTGTTTGGATATAAGCTGGTGACTGAGATGGGCACATACATCAAGCCGATTTACGTACTTGGTTTTTGTTTTAATTTGTGATGAAAACGCTTTCTCACACAGACACATAGAAGCAAACTAAATTACAATTTTTAAAGCACCATTTTACAGTTGACTATATTCTGTTTTCAGCAGTAATGAGTTTTAGGAATTACTCAAGCCTTTCGCTTGAAATTAATTCCAATGTTAATCTAAAGTTCAATTTCTACTCACTTCCATTCAATGGCAATTTGTTATTTTTAATATAACAATGGAAAGTATCACGAATTGATAAAAATTCGTCATACTTTTCACTTGGAAAATAAGTTTCAAATTATGATCTCAGAGTTTCGATATGCGAACGTGTGTAACTGCATAATTCTTTTTCAATAATAATATCATTTTCTACTAAAAAGTATTCTAAGACTGGAAATAGTGAAACACAATTAATCGACCAAGTTTTCTCTCGAGCCCTTTTATTTTCACTTGAGCTCTGAGAACAATCAATGAAATTACCTTCTAGACAGAGATTTAGTTCATTTAGTTTTGGGAACGCATCTGAAAGGTATGCCAGTATACGCCCCATGTTATAAGAAAGAAATGACGTAAAATCTTTGCTATTTTTTATTTATTTTTATTTATTTATTTTACAATTACCTTGAGAGTATATCACCTTCTACAAGCAATGCTTTGCCAGAGGCTTTCCTTTGATAAAGTTGATTAATTTAATGTTGTCTTCTAACATGGTTTCGAATTTTGAAACATGCCTTTGGCCGCCAAGGTTTCGCTGTGAACAAAAATAACGGGTCCAGGTAACATTTAAGCTGTTGCCAGTTGTAACTTTAGCTGCAACGTCACTATGCCTTCCGAAGAGCGTACGGGCCCCAAATCAGAACAAAAATCTCCACAATTCTTCCAATCATTTTCATGCTCTTTCATGTAATCATTTAGGACTTTAAAAATTTGCTTTGGCAGCGTCTTCGAAAATAACATATGTTCAAGAATACCATTATTAAATTCATAGTTGACGTAACAATTCTGCTGTGCATCATTAGAAATATCTCTTTTCTTGTCTGTCTGAAATGAAGTAGATTTTTTTTATTCAGCTGAGATGTGATGATTTTATGTTATTAGTCATCTCATCGATTCATGACGCAGTTTTATTGTTTGAGAATGGTATTTAATCAATGCCCTTATGTTAGTTTTTCACTAAACATTGGTTAAACTATACTTTTTTATAATTGGAAGTATTGTAGTCTCGCGTATAGAATGGGGTGACTCGCTGTTAGTGATGTAAAGATTTGTAATACAAGAAACGTCTAAGGCATTTTCAGTTGCGGAACCTGTGTTAGAAAAAAATTTGATTACTTTATTTAGCTCATCAACACATAGCTGAAAAAATTCGACAGATCTGCTTTTTACCTTGTGTCTTTCATCTTTAAATGCCGTTCCAATTTCGCGGGTTTCACACACTAATTCACAAGCAGTTCGTAACATATAACGAACTGAAGTTTTGTTTGCTATCCCGCACATGCCAAGTAAATCTAAATTCCAAGTTACCCTTCTCATGCTTGCGAAAGTACTTTTCCTTTGAAAAGCTATGAGTACCAACAGATATTTTTAATGGTCCTAGAATCATTAATATAGTCATATCACACACAGATTCTGCACTATCAGCTTGCTTAAATTAAGGGTAGCATTGCGTTTCTTTCTTTTCAACGATTCGGTTGGAAGCCAGATTTTCATTATGTGCAATGGGCACTTAATAGCAGAGACAACTATTAACGCATACGGTAAAACACATCTATCTGCGTCTATCAAATAGGAAAGATTTCAAATAACTATACAGATACTGGACTAAACAACAAACTACGAATCAGCAATGAATACTATTTTTTTATAAGTAACATGTCATTGACACCCAAACAAAAGGGGGGAAAGAGAGCAGGAGGAAAAAAAAATAATTGGAAATTACACTAATTTAAACTTCTGGATCTTATTCGCCCGAATTTTAAAACAGGCGAAAACTAAAATTTCTCCCATCGTCCTCTGAAAAAATGCAAATAAAAAAAAATAATGCAGAAACATGCCCTGATTTTCAGCAAGTAAAATGAAGCTTCTTGGTGTCTGTGCCATTTCAGTATCCCCGAATCTATTAAGAAAGTCGTAAACACATGAAAAGAAGGCTCAACATTTCGGTGTACTGAGACAAACTCGGGGGAGGGGGAAGAATCTCCGTTAGGGTTACAGGTATGGAGCTAGATGTGCAGCGAAAGGAAGGCGAGGAGTACCACAGTCATAGTGCTTTAAATCGATCTTTTGCTGCTAAAACTAGAGAACTCCGTAGGTCGGGTTAAATGGTAATAAATTCCATAAAATGTCAGTCTTGGGAGAAAATATGATAGACGACTGCCCATGTATAGTTTCTAAACTCTGAGATTTCACCTACAGTATCGCATAAGCAATTAATTTTAATTTAAGTTTTTGCCTTTTTTTTTTTTTTGGAAATCTAGGTAGATCCCTAAGGCAGTTTTTAAGAACCCCTTTTGGTTTGCGGGCCACAGACTGAGAAACTCCGCGTTACACCTAAACTTACTGCTAATATATTTACTTCCCCGCCAACTGGTGAGTGGCTATAGCTACTGAGCTGTGGTAGTTCGTCATGGATTCAAATAGCAGCGAACAAGCTGGCTTCATGGATATTTTTGTGGTCTTCCTTACCCCTCTGAAAATGACACATGAATAAAAGCTCTTGTGTCATAACCCATGGAAAATAACGCGTGAATACGCATTAGTTCCCTTTAGAATTTCCTCCTTAAAGGCATCCGTCCCCTTACGTAGAAAGAACTAATGCGTTTTACCATAATGAATTAATTTAACCTATTTTTTATTTTATCTTTTAACACATTTTTTTAACCAATGCTCAACTGATTTCTCTCTGCCTGTTTCTTGTGTTTGTTTACAACTGATTCTGTTTCTGATATTTATTTATTTATCTATCTATATTAATTTATTTATCTATCTATATTAATTTATTTAGTACTTAATTATGATGTGTTGGTATGTTACATAAAGGCTGGGTAAAATCTGTTCACTGTTAATATTAATTGTCCACTGAAAACAACGCACTCGAAGAAAAAAAATGAGTAAGTAAAACATCATCTTAAAAACATTGTTATAGAAACGAAAGCAATAGCAAAATTTTGCAGTTTTAGTACATCGTCATAAGAACTGTCATGGTGTAAAACAAATCATCTTACATACCGCGTAACAGTAACATCCCAGACATGAGTTTCTAGGTTCTAAAAATTTCCAATCTATATTTGCTGTTACAATATGCAGTCATTTGTCAGCGCATGAAGAAATGTATAATATTTTTAATCACATCATTTCAACTAATACTTATAATTGAAAGTCTAAAGTAATTTTAAGCATTCAAAATCTGAAAATGAAGGGAAATTATAATTATGCACAGCAGAAGTTGATAAATTATAAATTTATGTAATTAGCTATTAAATATCATTAATTTTGATAAGACTCATTAATAGTTTTTATGGTTCTAGTTAGACCAATATTCTTTCAGTAAAAATTACATATTGTTTTGTTTCAGTTTGTTCAACTTCTTTAGGTGTAATTCTGTTATGATTTCGTTGTTGTTATTTATGCTCATCTGCCTGACAGTAACATCAGCCCAAGCTGATGCACGAAATTCCTCGTGGCAAGGAACGCTAGATTACGCCTGCCATTGGCATCAGCCTTGAGCATCATACAGGTGACAGTACGAATTAGCTCAGTTCCCCCCTCAATTTTGATGGAGAGCACCCCCGGGGGGGGTCCGAGGGTCTCCCACACCTCTCACATTCCACGAAATCAGACGAGAGGACTTTTGTCTCGTCGCATATTTAGAGTGCTGCCATGCCGCACCGACAGTATACATTTACAAACATCCATGCCTTCTCCGGGATTCGAACCCGGGCCCTTCGGCACGTCAGCACGTTAACATTTTAGGCTAACCATTTGATTGCACATCGATCGTTATGGCAAATCATGTTCAGAAATCATTAAGAATATGAGTAAGTGCTTATATTATGCATTATGAAGATTGAATTTTCAATTATTTTTAGAAATTTAAACTAAAGTTTTCCAGAAATAAAATAAAATTATTTAACTTTATCTTTTTTTAATTTAAGAAACCATCAATGCCTTGAAATAAATTATTCCAAAAGTTTTGATTTATTTCTTGATCTTTAGTAATTTATTCTAACCTATCCTCTTTAACCTAAGCATTAGTAATTTGGTTTCTTACTTAGCTTAGATTTCTTATTTACATGTGTATGAGAAAAGATTTAAATTATTTTGTAGTCGCTATTTAAAGCCCAAAATACCTAAATACTGTATTTTAAACTGTTAAAAGCATTTGAAGCTTTTACCATCTCAAAATGCACATCTGCGATTTTATCGTCATGTGTGGTTTTAAACGCTTATACGTGCTAAACCTGTTTCTAACCACCTTGTTTTGTACAACGATGTCTTAAAACTGTAAAATTTCCTTACTGTTTTATTTACATCGTGATATTGTTGCGTGCGTACGGGTTCGTTACCAAATGAATGCACATGTCCGATGAAAAATAAACAAAAATTTATTATTATCACAAAAAATATGCTTAAATTTCCTCAAATTATCGTGCAGTATTACAATATCTCACAGTAGTTATCTTTTAACTACTCAAACGTTCAATAGAACTTAATTCCAAAACAGCTAAAGAACGCTAATCCGCGAATTCACTACAATTAACAAGAGCAGTTTTCTAAACAACAACAAACTATGTAGTAACTACTACGAACTGAGATGTTTTCCTCCTTTTATAAGATTTTAAAAATCACACGCGAGAATTTCCTTGTACTTTCTAGAAATCAAAAAGAGATATTTATTAAATGTTTAATGCACGCGCTCTTGTATTTTCAATTTTCCGGCTTAGCTTTCTTTTAATATTCGTCACGCGCTGCACTGCGCGGGAAATAAAACCATTTAATTTATAATTGAACTAACATTAGCTTTTTTAAAATACCAAATTCGTAACACTGCCCCTTTCCCAAGGACTGCACGTCCCGGGCAGTACAATCCCTGGACAGGAAGCTAAACTTACAACTGTGGCATAAATGCAATAATAAGCATTACATTACAATAATAAACAACATGAACAATAAATGCAATAAATAAAACAAATCAAATGCTATCAAATACAAATCAAATACTAAATACAAATCAAATCAAATACACATTTAAAAACAAAAAGGACCATGGTCTTATACTATTTACAATTATTTACATTACTTACTATGGCCATAGTAATGAGCTAACCTGTCGTAATGAACGACTTTAAGTTCAGAGTTCGAAGACTTACGGATCCGAACTACGAGGTCATTCAGCCTGTTTAGGAATGTGTGCGGACCATCCCAAGGTGACTGTAATTTAGGCCTGAGTCCTTTTCGTTGAATCGGGTTCCACAACCACACCTTGTCTCCTTTATTGGATCTATGTCCAGTAGCTCTCGTGTTGTATCTGGTCTTCACTTTCTCCGTCGCCAAGTTCACTCGCTTTCGTACGGAACGGTGCATCACTTCAAAACGGGCCTGGACATCTTGGATGTGTTCCTCAGGCGATGAAGGCGCATCCGTAGGGCGACCGAACAGGCGGTCACAAGGCAGACGAAGGTCTCGACCGAAGAGCTTCTGGGATGGAGAATACCCGGTAGTCTGGTGTTTTTCTCCGACCCTAGTAGGATTTCGGCAGCTTTCTGAATAGGGTCTTTCACATGAGACGTCGGCGTTTCCAGGCGATGATTCCTTTTGAAGATGGATCGTCATGTCTTCAGATGCTGAGAACAGCTTATTGTTTTTGAAGGCTAAGGAAAAATTATATTTCCTTAGAAAGTCCAATCCGAGTATGCATGGATCTGTAATATTCGCCACATAAGCCACATAAGATGGTAGGCGGCACTTCCACACATAATGTTCACGTTTAACTTCCCAGCTATGTCGATCTTATCACCAGACGCAGTCTGAAGGGTAGCACAGGATGGCGTCCAAATAAGTTTATCTTTAAACTGTTCAGCTACTCTTTCTACTGATGGTAACATTAGCTCCTGTGTCAATGATCATATTGCAAGGAACTCCATCGAAATTTCCATTGATGGACAGTCCGTTACTGTTGCCACTCACTCTAGAAATCTTGAGTGCTTTAAAACAAGGTTTTACATTATCTGGCAACCTCCGTTCCTTGATGTGGTCATTAATTTGTTTCCTGCGTCATTGCTGAGAAAGGTCTCAATTTCCGTACCCTGGGGTGTTCTGCAATTCTTTCGTACGTGGCCTTCAGTTCCACAGTTCCAGCACTTTGGTTTGTTGTCAGTCCTTTTCTATCCCATGGCATTTAATTGTCTATTTAAATCGTATGCCTTATTTTCCGTGCTCTGGGATGTTCTGAAGTTCCTTCGTAGGTGGCCTTCAACACCGCAGTTCCAGCACTTTAGGGTCGGTTTCTTTTCACCACTATTCCGTCTCAAGGCATTCACTGGTCTTGTCAACTCATCCGTTTTATTATCCGTGCCCTGGGGTGTTCTGCAATGCCGTCGTAGGTGACCTTCAGAACCACATTTCTAACACCTTCGAGCCACTTTGTTCTCACTGCTACTCCGTATCAAAGCGTCGACTTGTCTGGATAAATCATCTAAACGAGCCATCAGTTGATCCACTGGCTCGTGGACTCGCACAGCTCTGGCTGGGTATCGATCTCTACTAGTTGCTTGCTGGGCTGCATCGAATTTCATGGCGTACACTAAAGCGCTTTTCAAATCTTTAACATCCGCCATTCGCAGTGCTTTCTGTATTTCAGGGTCCCGGATGCACGATGAAATATTGCAGCGACAGGATTTCCCTCGTTTCTCTCGGGCACTACGTAAAGCGAGGTGGGACAGCTTTTCAACATCCGTGGCGAGTTCCCGGAGTGATTCGGTGGGCTTCTGTTGACGGGATTTTAATTGAAGCCTGCTGTAGTCTTTTAAACATTTCTCGCCAAAGCGCAGCTCTAATGCGCCGGATATAGCTTCGAAGTCAAGTCTTTGGTTTTCGGGAAGCTTCTGCAAGATATCCGCTGCGTCTGCTCTCAGCGAAGCGGCGAGATGACAGGCCTTAGTTTGGGAATCCCATCCATTCGCATCCGCCACTATAGAAAATTGTGTTTTATACACTTACCAGGAGGTCTTCCCATCACAAGTGGATAACTTCAGAGAGGGACGAGCAGGCATGGGAAAAAATTTAAAACCATCACTATCGTTCCCTGC